CAGGCAGGTCATGACTTAATCAAACGCTTGCCAATTGGCATCGTCACCATGTTTCGAGATATCAAGGATCATCCTTGCTTTTCTCCATTAATTCCTTTTATTATTTAATTAATTATTTGTTTATTTATTTAGACTTGAATAATAAACCATCACGGCATCCCATTTAAACCATTTGCTTCTTGTCCAAGTAAAGGGAAACTTCGTTCCACCCAAAAAAAAAAAAAAAGGCGCAAGACAGAGTCTCAGAACCCCTCTTACCCCAAAAAAAGTATACAAATTTATAAATAAACCCAATCCTAGACATGTATTTATAAAAAAACCCAAGCACTATTTAAACATAGAAACACACCCAAAATCAACCCCAAAGTCAACTTTTTGGGTGTGTTTATAAATGAGTTTTGAGTGTGTGTAATAATGGATTTTGGGTATATTTATAAAGTGTTTTGGGTGTTGGGTTTTTTTATAATTTCAACCTCTATTTTGGGTGTTTTAGTGAAACTCCCAAAAAAGTAAATAAAAAAGAAAGATGTTTGCAGCCCAATATCTCTAGCCCAATATATTAGAATATGGGCCCTATATCTCTTATCTCAAACCGTAGCCCACAATTTGAAAGTCCAATTGTGACAAGTCGTGCTTCGAGTCCAATTAGGAGAAAACGTTACTTTGAACAACGGTTTCACCAACATACGTGGGTTAGGTCAGTTGGTGGGGACAGTGTATATGCCGTTTATAACCAAGTTCAAATCTCCATTATCACATAAATTAGATTAATTATATTTTTAAATAATAGAAAAAAACAACAACGGTTTCAACACAGGTGCTCTAACCGCTCCTCCGCTTCTGTTGATTGTACTGCCAAAATTCAAAGCACAAAAATGACTGAGGTACAACAACATAAAGCAGCACCTGATATGAAACTGCAAGGATAGCGCCCAATTTCAAACTCGAAGCTTCTACTCTGACCGCCAAATATTCCAACACGTCTCTGCGTCTGCCATATTGAAATGAAAAAATTTAATATCAAAAACCAGATTATTTCTTGACCAGTTGATCGACCTCTGTCTTTAATTCTCTCTCTTGTGCTTTTAATTTCTTAATTTGAGCATAAGAAAAATGCCAAGCCTCAGCTTGAAGCTGCACAGCTTGTTCTTCAAGTACCATCTGAGACACCAATTGCAGAGCCTAAAGCAAATCCAACCCGACCCAAATTTCGGGATCACTTCCCGACCCGAAGAGCCCGCCGTTCCCGCCAACCCGACTTTCCAAGACGGCGTCGCCACTAAAGACATCCACGTCGACCCCCTCTCCTCTCTCTCCCTCCGCATCTTCTTACCCGACACTGTCCTCCCAGTCCCCCTCAAAACCGCAACGCCTCCGAAACATGGCGCCGCCCAATCGCCTCTCTCCTCTGACGACTCTGATGGGGCCGTGTACAGGGGATACTCTCCCGATCAGCCGATGGGGAAGCGCCACCGGAAGCTTCCGATATTTTTGCAGTTCCACGGAGGTGGGTTTGTGAGCGGGAGCAACGACACGTCGTCGAACGACGCGTTCTGCAGGCGGATGTCGAAGCTGTGCGACGTGATCGTGGTGGCGGTCGGGTACAGGCTGGCGCCGGAGAGCCCTTACCCGGCGGCGTTTGAGGACGGGGTTTTGGTGTTGAAGTGGGTAGCGAAGCAGGCCAACTTGGCTACGCTTCGAAACGCTCGCAGCCGTATCTTCGATAGCTTTGGGTCGTCGATGGTTGAGCCATGGCTGGCTGCTCATGGAGACCCATCTAGGTACTTGTTGCCTATTGCCATATTTGAAATTGATCAATTCAATGCTCATGGTTTTCCTGTTCTCTCTTAACATATCTAAAGTTCGAAACTTTTTAAGTTTGTGTTTCCTTGTTTGTTTGAATTGGAATAATTAGTGGGCATTGACATGGAATTTGTTATCAGAACAGGTGTGTACTCCTTGGGGTGAGCTGTGGAGCTAACCTAGCTGACTACGTAGCTCGAAAAGCGGTGGAGGCGGGGAACCTCTTAGACCCTTTGAAAGTGGTGGCACAAGTCCTCATGTACCCTTTCTTCATTGGAAGCATTCCCACCAAGTCTGAGATTAAGTTGGCAAATTCCTACTTATATGACAAGGATACATGTATGCTGGCTTGGAAGCTATTTCTAACAGAGGAAGAGTTTGATTTAGACCATCCTGCAGGCAACCCCCTCTTGCCTGGGACAGGGCCACCCTTGAAGAGCATGCCTCCGACGCTAACAGTTGTCGCGGAGCATGATTGGATGCGCGACCGGGGCATCGCTTACTCAGAGGAGTTAAGGAAGGCTAATGTGGATGCACCTCTTCTTGATTACAAAGATACTGTGCATGAGTTTGCTACTCTTGATGTGCTCCTCCATACACCCCAGGCCAAGGCTTGTGCAGATGATATTACTATATGGGTGAAAAAGTATATCTCAATCAGAGGCCATGAGTTTTCCTATTGATTAATATGATTAGTTCAATGGAGAAGAAAAAAATTATGAAGCTCGAGGATTGAAGCACATTTTAACGGCTTCAGGGGAACAAGAACAGAAGCATTTTGGTGTACAGCATCTGCTTCAAATTCATTCATTTTTTTGTTCATTTAATGGCTAGTCAAGAGACAATTAAAGATCAATTATATTCCCTGATATGTGATGTTCATGTTTTTTTTTTTGCCACAATATTTGATGTTCATTCAGTTGTGCATTATATGTAAACCTTCGATCACATTTTTGTATAGTCACCCTGCAAATATATTTTCTTTTGTTCTTTTGGAGTTATGGACAAGCATTATCTATTTAGTTCCAAGATTGTACGATATAGGGAAAAACTAGCAAAGGTGCCCGCGCGATGCCATGGGTATTAAAACTGTATAAAATATGTAAAAACTTGTAAAAACATATAGGAAACACAATATTATTTATGTACACATGTGAAAGTTTAAGTTACAAAAGATAGATTAGTAACATGTTATGCATGCGAAGTAGTGTTTAAAAAACTATTACAGCAATAGATAGATAAATAACATGTTTTATACACAAAGATATACACAGATTGGTGATGGAACTTCTCTCTTCACTAGTTCTTGGTTTTTCATCTGTTTTGATGTCTTCAGGAAGAGTATTTTCTTTTGTTGGCTTGGCTGCATAGGGTTTTTTTCTTCTTTCTTCTAATGTGCATGTGTTTTCACTTCTCCGTTACAAATTGGAAAAATGTTAGTTGTCAGTGTAGATAAGTGGCAAAGTTCTAGTGAAAATAAGACAATAAAATATGTGTGTGGTTTGTGCTATGGATCCTAACAATGAAAATAAGTTGAGGAGTACTGCCTTATAATTTAAAGGAAAAAGGGAAACAAAAGTTTATATTCTGCAGCTACAAAAAGAGTATAGACCCCTTCAACCCTTAGTGTAATTTCTTTATATATTTAGCAACCACATTTCACTCATCTTTCTCACATTTCACCCATCTTTCCCAAAAAAAAAAAGCCAAGTTTCTTAATATGAACTGAAATTTGCAGCAACTAAATATTAGAATTGGGAAGAATTGAAGTATGCTTATACCACTTGAGTGAACTAAAAAATTAACGTAGGATAGAATCTTTAAAGTCAACAAACCCACCAACAAACCAACGTAGGATACAATCTTTAAAGTCAACTAAAAAATTAACGTAGGAAAACTCTGTAAGCTGAACCCATGGATGGTACAATGCCTCATTTCTAATGAATCAAAGCGAAAAAGATAGAAAGTGTTCCATGATCAGTACCTGTAGCCCATTAAAACTAAAATTCTTACACTCCTGGTTCATTGGGCACAAATAACTGGAGTTTAATTAATTCCTACCACAATAATAAGCCTATAATCTAGAAAAAAAATAGTTCTTTCTATATATTTATTATTTATATCAAAAAATTTGTGCTTAGGAACAGTGGCCAGTTGGATTGGGTTTCAGTATATAATATATATGTCCAACGGTATATCCTATACAGGTTGCTTTGTTCACTATGTGCATGCCGCTTGCTCTTCTGCATATATACCCTTTGATAAATTTAAACTAATCTTCCATAGCAGGTTCCGAACCGAATCAAGGGAGCCTAAAGACAAACAATTTAGGTGCATATACAACTTGTTTTGTCATGTATGTGTGTAGGATAAGCTTATCCTAGCTATATCCCAAGGCCATATGTATTATTTTAAACCACATCAGGACCTGGTAAAAGGAAGGTAATAGAATAAAATTTACAACCGCAAGTAGCATTGGAGAATTCTGTATCTGGGAAAATTACAGTCACATATGGATAAAGTACCAATGCTGTGGACATAGACAAGATATAAAGCTCCCAAATCTTAGGGATTCCTTGAAAGTGATGGCAATAATGGAAGCTTCCTTGTCAGTGATTGCTCTATGTATGCATTGCCCTATGCCTGCTGGAAGTAAGACAATTTTATTTCATAAGTCCTTACATTTTGCTCATTTGAAATACTTCACAACATAGTAATCGCCATCAACGCAACAAGGAAGCTTCAACATACACATCACAGACATATATAAATCCCCAGCGGAGGAGATGGTCATTTAACTTAGTTGCAAAAGCTTCTCATACATTAGAAAGGTAGATAATGGCATCTGGTCTCTATGTTCAATCTGAATTCTATGGGGAAAATACATCTGATGAGGTGATTGGTCTTGGTCTCAATCTGTCATCCATGGCATGCCTTCCCTACCCTTCTTCTCTTTCCACTTTGGAGGAAAATCCTGCTGGCTGGGTGATCCCATTCATAGATGAAACAACAAGTCATAAGAGGCTAAAGCAGCAACATAGTGCCAGCTATGAATTCAATAATGCAGGTACTAACTATTATAGTCTTTACATTGGCAGTGGCAGCATGTGTGCTAGGGGATTAGATAGTTTGCCAAGAATCCATTTCCGGGATCACATATCTGCGTACACTCGGAGATACTTGGCATTAGAGGCCATGGAAGAAGCCACTGCAACCCTGATGAGAGGCAAGGAAGGTGAATCCGAGGAAGAAGGAAGGGGAGATGAGACGAAACTAGTCCAGCAACTCATTGCTTGTGCTGAGGCTGTGGCTTGTCGTGACAAAGCTCATGCTTCAACATTACTTTATGAGCTCAGAGCTAATGCAAAGGTCTTTGGGACATCATTTCAGCGAGTAGCATCCTGCTTTGTCCAAGGTCTCTCTGACCGCCTTGCGCTGGTTCAACCGCTTGGGGCAGTGGGAGTTATAGGCCCCATAACCAAGTCAACTGCTTTTTCGGCAGAAAGGGATGAGGCTTTGCACCTTGTTTATGAGATTTGCCCACAAATCCAATTCGGTCACTTCGTAGCAAATGCATCAATATTGGAAGCCTTTGAGGGAGAAAGCTCTGTTCATGTCATAGACTTGGGCATGACCCTAGGCCTCCCACATGGGTACCAATGGCGCAATTTAATAGACAGTCTAGCCAACCGTGCAGGACAACCCTTACATCGCCTTCGAATCACCGGTGCTGGCAACTCTGCCGAACGCCTTCAAGCAATTGGCAATGACCTCAAGCTGCATGCACAAAGCATGAAACTGAATTTTGAATTTTCAGCAGTGGAGAGCAGCTTCGAGAACCTAAAGCCTCAAGACTTCGATTTAGTTGATGGGGAGGTTTTGGTCATCAACAGCATACTTCAGTTGCATTGTCTGGTGAAAGAGAGCAGAGGTGCATTAAACTCAGTTTTACAGACACTTCACCAGCTATCACCAAAGCTTATGATTTTGGTTGAGCAGGACACAAGCCACAATGGGCCTTTCTTTCTAGGGAGGTTCATGGAGGCATTGCATAATTACTCTGCCATATTTGACTCCCTGGATGCAATGCTGCCCAAGTATGATACAAGGAGAGCTAAAATGGAGCAGTTTTATTTTGGGGAGGAGATTAAGAACATTGTGAGCTGTGAGGGACCAGCCAGGGTGGAGAGGCATGAAAGGGTTGAGCAATGGCGCCGGAGGATGAGACGTGCCGGGTTCCAACCGGCACCTCTGAAGATGATAGCACAGGCCATGAAATGGCTAGAAATAAATACTTGTGAGGGGTACACAGTTGTAGAAGACAAGGGTTGCTTGGTTCTTGGGTGGAAGTCAAAGCCCATCATTGCAACTTCTTGCTGGAAATAATCTGCGATTTCATAAAACTTAGTCTGACAAAAAAGGAATAACGTTTTTGAAACTGATCATGTTTGGTGAACTAAAAAGAACAAACTTGTGTAGTTTGTATCAAGCACTTCTAATCAAATCGGACAACATAATCTGTTAACTATGTTTGATAATTTAGCATGATTCGTGTTTGAGTAAACAGTATCTAGTAGACTATATTCTTATATCTTAAGAATCAAAGTGCATAGAGAGCCTGAAAAACTCTAAAACTCCAATTCAAAAGCTCCCCTTGGCCCCAAAATGTCACAGCCGTATTGAGGAAACAATATCAAAAAGAACCACAAAGTAGCTTTTGGGGCAATTGGGACTCTCTCAGTCATTTGGTCGAACACCTTGCACACGAAATGACCGTCGTGGCAAAATCGACGGCCAACAATACATTGCCATCAGCAACTTCATTGTGGGCTGCCACGTGTATGGCTGGCAAGACGCTCCGTGGACTCTCACAAAAAAAAAAAAGACACAAAAAACAACTTGCCTGGCGAAAGAAGGACGTGTGGATAAGACAGCACACATCCTTCGGTAAGTTTCCCAAAGGGCTCTCCTTTCTCGCTCACTCACAAAGCACACAGCGAAGAAACGAAGACTGAGCAAAATCGAAGCAAAAATGGAAGCGGGTATGTCTCTAAACGCAGTCGTTCGGCTTCCGCTGTCGAGTTCGAGGACCCATGAAGATGGTTTGGTCAGGCACTCATTGGTCTCCACGACGACGACGACGACCCAGAAGGCAGAGCAAAGGCAGGGCCGCAAACTGGTCGTTCAAGCAAAGAGCAAAAGGGGAATGATGGCTCGCCAATTTCAAGCCAAGAAGCCTCCACCTCCTGCCATGCCCAAGATTGAAGACGACGGCAACCCACGTTTCGTTGTATTCATGAGAATGGCTAATGTTTGTTCTCTCTCCCCCAGTTTTTGCTTTTAATTTCCAAAGTTAATAACTTTCTTTGAGATTTTTGTTTAGCTGGAGAAAATTACAAGTTTTTTCTTGTTGAATCTTGGACAGGTTTACCTATGGTACCCACTTAGTGTTATATCAGGCGGCACCACGGCTAAAATCATGGTTGCAGCAAAAGATAATTTTCTGGGAAAATATATATATAAGGATACACTTGCTAGAAATCTTGCTGCAGTTATTTACAGGGTGAGTTTTTGTTTAATTAAGCTTAACTAGATTTCTACATACTTGTTCTTTTTTGTTAAATTTATGATTGATTGTATATAATTTGGTGTGCTTGGTCAATCTCATTATGAACAGCAGTTTGAACAATTACTCAACTGAACTGAGCAATCTGAAGTAGAGTTCATGTAACCAGAGTCAATTTGCCTAATTTTTTTTATTTTATTTTTTATTTTTTAATGTGTATAACTTGCTGAAATCTTCTAATGGTTTGTGTTATAAAATTTCTGTGTGGACATGTTAACTATATTGAGAATCCTTGTGGCAAAGATACTCATTGTTGATTAATCATGGCTTAGAGGACATATTCTGCTTTTAGTAGCCAAATGCGATTTTTATGATGGTTAAACATTTTTCGCAACCGGCCTCATATTAGCAATTGCATAATTGCTTGTTTTTAATTTAAACAGGACGAGAAGGAAATACAGAAGACAGCATTCAAGCAGTACCGAGTGTTGCGGTCGGCTACTGATTTTAGATATGGCTACAAAATTGTGGTAATCCTCTTATGACCTCTACACTAAATAAAAGTTCATTCATAGATGATTATTGTCCTTTTCTCACCATTAAAATGTATGGCAGAAGCTCAATTCTGTTATTTCAGTGTTTGAATCTTTTCTGTGCTATACGTGTAGGAAAATGGTAACATGAGAGCAGCACTTTCTACCTCGGATGTAATTGAGGTAATTATTTGTCTTTTTCATTATGCTTGCCTACACTGTTGTCTTTGTGATGAGATTATAATGCATTAAACATTCAGCTGATCACAAGCTTCAGCCCTTGAGCTGCAACTCTTCAATTCGTTTATTCTAAATTAGAAGCTATTTATGCTGGCAGCTACAGAGTTACAGTTGAATTAAAATATTCAGTTGTGAACAGATTGGTCTAAAATTGTGATGGTTCTGAACCCAATTTCAGCTTCCAACAAAAGACAAGCTCAAAACCACTTTTGACAAAGTGAAAGATTTTTTTGGGGATGCAAAGGAATCGTTCGGCAAGCTGACAACACTGAACTTATCCGAGTCTCAGGAATCAGAAGAAAAATCTGCAGAACAGGAAAAGTGAGTTATATGCACACAATACACTTGATAAGTTTTGTTTTCTCAACCGTAGTTGTCGAGGCTTTCTTGTTGGCTTCTCTTTTTTCTGTTGTCAGGCAACACTCAAACCTAAAACCTCCGTCCATTACTTTACATTCCTAAAATGATTGTTGGTTCGTTTAACAGGGTAAAAGGCTGAAGGTGGCAGATAGGTTCTGTGAGATAGTGAAGCTTATTCAGCTGCGTGCACATTTCACGAAAGGTCGCTTAGGATGATTGTACACACGGTTTTGTTTATAGATCTCTCTGTCAATTAAACATGATTTTATGTTTGCCAATTACATCTGATACTAATTTAGCCTGTTCCACACTTGTATTTCTGAAAATCTCTTGAAACTGCTGAATTAAGTGCACCATGGAGCAAACATGCCCTATTAAGACATTATAGATGTGAGGGTGGTTAAGTGGGAGGTGAAAACAAGACATAAATAAGTATAGTTTTAAAAGCAACTTGACAAACTCACTACTTGTAGGTTCTTTGGAAATGTGCATGGATAGATGGCATGAAATAAAACCCTATGTTTTCCTTAAGATTATAATCAGCATCGTGTATTATAACATGGAATACATTAATGCCGGTTACCAACAAAATACATAGAATAGAAGTTAATACCAGCGACACTCTCTTATATTATATTTTCCTCTTACAAAACGATGATGACATGTTGGAGGAAACCAGACGCAGAGAGAGATGGTGTTCCATTAGAGGAAGCTTGAGACGGAAAGGAATCTTATTTTCTTGCTGTGTTTTAAAGGTGGTGTTGATCAATTCCCTTGAATTGGTGATCCATGTTGGCTGGGTGTTGGAACAAGAACAAGAGCAGACTTCTTTCTTGTGGCAAGCCCAAAAATCTCGTCAAGGTCCACATCATCTGGTCCAACTCCTTGAGGCAATGCCCAATCAAAATTATACAAGAGCCTTGCCAATGCAATCTCCACCGTTGCCAACCCAAAGCCATATCCTGGGCAGCCTCTTCTTCCTCCACCAAATGGTAGAAACCTAAAATCTTGATCAACAACATTAACGTTGCCTGCATCTTGAAACCTCTCAGGCCTAAACTCCAAGGGATTGTCCCACGACCGTGGGTCTCTTGCTATGGCATAGGCGTTGATTAGAACCCTAGTTTTTTCGGGTATTTCGTAGCCATCCAGAGTGCACTTTTCCATTGATTCTCGAGGGACAAGAAGAGGGACTGGCGGATGCAATCGCATTGTCTCTTTTATGACTGCTTTCAAGTAGTCAAAGTGTTGAAGGTGGCTCTCGTCTACTTTTCCAGTGCCGGATGCAAACTTTCGAACTTGTTCTTGTGCTTTCTTCATCACATTTGGGTGTCTCACCAACTCTGTCATTGCCCATTCTAGGGTGGCTGATGTCGTATCGGTTCCGGCCACAAACATATCCTATTAATATTATACAAATTTATAAATAAACCCAATCCTAGAGATGTATTTATAAAAAAACCCAAACACTATTTAAACATAGAAACACACCCAAAATCAACCCCAAAATCAACAATTGTATATTTTTTGGGTGTGTTTATAAATGAGTTTTGAGTGTGTGTAATGATAGGTTTTGGGTGTGTTTATAAAGTGTTTTGGATGTTGGGTTTTTTTATAATTTCAGCCCCCATTTTGGGTGTTTTAGTGAAACTCCCTTAATATTATATAGTAAATTGAGCTTAGACCCATAAAATTCATTTTAAATCACCTATAACCCTTCTATTTATTTTTCTAATTAAAATACCCAATTTTTTCAAATAATACCTGATGATTAGGGTCAAACTAAGTAAGTTACCTAATATAACTTAAAATATGATTTATTGTATTTTTTGGATTCCAAAACTATCCATATTTATAAGTTAATGTGTTATGAAGGATGTAACTAATGACACACGTTGAATTTGGAAAGATTTCTAAATGGTTGTAATGGATGTAGGAATTAATTTAGAAACTTATTTGAAATTGAATATTAACATATTAGTAATCTATAGGTGATTAACGTTTTGGTTTATTTAATAAAAAAATTATGTTGTTTTCCTTTCATGAATTTTACGACTGGTAATCTATTTTATTATAGTTTTATGAATAATAGTTTACATTCTAATTATGTTGAAAAATAATTTGATAATCTATTTATTGTTTGTTTTTTGAAAAACATTTTTTTTTAAATGAACCTATTTTTTCTCTAAATAATGTACCTATTTTTTTCTCTAAATAAAGCACATATTACTTGTTTTATGAAAAATAATTTGATCATCTTTTTATTGTTTGTTTTATGAAAACAATTTTTTATTATAAAGGAATCTAATTTTTCCCTCCAAATAATGTACTTATTTTTTTCAATAATAATGTACCTAGTAAAACAATTTACCTAGTATAATGAAGGGAGTTTCACTAAAAACCCAAAATGGGGGTTGAAATTATAAAAAAAACCCAACACTCAAAACACTTTATAAATACACCCAAAACCCATCATTACACACACTCAAAACCCATTTATAAACACACCCAAAAAATATACAATTGTTGATTTTGGGGTTGATTTTGGGTGTGTTTCTATGTTTAAATAGTGCTTGGGTTTTTTATAAATACATGTTTAGGATTGAGTTTATTTATAGATTTGTATATAATGAACCTATTTTTTCTCTAAATTTTGTATATATATATATATATATTTCTGTAAATAATGTACCTATTACTTGTTTTATAAAAAATAACTTGATAATCTATTTATTTTTTGTTTGATGATTGTTTTTTTCTCTAAATAATGTACCTAATTTTTTCTCTAATACTGTATACCTAGTATAATGGGGTGATTGATATTGCCAAATCCAAAAGAAATGGGGTGATTGATAAGTCATTAATAGGGAGTTTTAATTACAATTATGGCAGTTAATGAAATACTTGGAATAAATTATAAATAAAATATGAAATCTGATGGCAACGATGTAAAAACGTAAGAATACTATGACCTCTTATATCATACTAGTCATTTAAGTTTGTAATTGGGTTTTACACATAAATTTATAAAATGATGTGTATTTATCTAGAAATAGAAATACAAATTTATAAATAAACCCAATCCTAGACATGTATTTATAAAAAAACCCAAGCACTATTTAAACATAGAAACACACCCAAAATCAACTTTTTGTGTGTGTTTATAAATTGGTTTTGAGTGTGTGTAATGATGGGTTTTGGGTGTGTTTATAAAGTATTTTGGGTGTTGGGTTTTTTTATAATTTCAACCTCCATTTTGGGTGTTTTAGTGAAACTCCCAAATAGAAATTATAGGAACTTATATTGGACAAACCGTGATCAAGAAAACATGTCCACTGCTGATATAAGCAATTGGCCCCATATTCAATTTAAGATCAAGATAGACACGAGATAGACACAACTAGTAGATCTAAGCAATTGGTTCCATATTCAATTTAAGATCAAGATAGAAACAACTAGTAGTGACATGACATCACCGACAAACAGAAATGCAACACAAAACGGTGTCGTTGGACCATAATATAGAGAGGGGATCGATATTTTCCAGTACAAGAGCCTTGAGATTGTCATCAGTAATTGGCACCTCCAAGTCATCTCTTTGTCGTACTCGAAGCAGAACATCCACAAAATCTTCTCTGCTACCACCACCGCTACCACCTTCGCAGGACGTCGTTTTGTTCAAATGCTCTTGTATTATTTCATCACACACTTGTCTCAAACCCTCCAAGTTCCTCTTCAGCCTCCTCCTCAACCCACTCACCCAGTTGACCCACTCCCACTCGGGGAAGAAATCCCCTACGCACCACCCAGCAAGCAAAGCCTGCGTCTCGCTCAAAAGCTCCACCAAACGATCTTCTGACTTTGACTTTGACTTTGTCTCCTCCTCCTCCACTATAAACCTCTTCCCCAACGCTACTCTACACAGCACATTGTTTGCCAACGCAAACAATAACTTGCTCATGTCCACTTCAGACCCGGACAGGCTGGCCAAGTGGCCCAGCAACCGGTTCACCTCCTCGTCTCGGACGAGGTGGAACGAAGTGACCCGTTTGGAGCTCAGCAACTCGGTGACACATATTTTTCTAGCTTGGCGCCAATAGGGGCCGTACGGGGAGAAGGTGACGTCGGAGCAGCCGAAGGAGAGCCACTGAGCCGCCACGAGCTGCGGTCGGCTCGCGAATACGTGATCGTGGGTTTTGAGGACGAGCTTGGCCAGGTCAGCGGAGGAGATGACCAGCGTGGGGACTCGGCCGAGTTGGAGGTGGATGATGGGGCCCAGTTTCTGGGCAAGGTGGGCGAGGGATTGGTAAGGTGGCGCCTCTGTGAGGAGGAGGTGGTGAAGGTGGCCTATAATTGGAAGGCTTGTCGGTGACGGTGGAGTACGGACGGTGGCGGACTGTGGCTGTGACGGTGACGTTATACTTTTCCTTTTCTGCAACTGCAAGCGAAGAAGGAAGAATACGAAGGGTATGAAAAGTAGAAGCGAGAGAATGAGAGAGTCCATTTTCTTCTTTTGCTTCCGGATGGAATCAATGATGTACTATAGAGATTGGGGCTTTATGTAGAAAATATTTTGGGCTGCCAAAGACAAAAACAAAAGAAAGTTTCATGAGCCCAATATCCCAAGCCCATTAGATTATAATATGGGCCCACAATTATAAGGTCCAATAATATGTACGAGGTATGTTTCTTGAATTTTCCTTATCCAGGGAAATTTTTCTCGAGTTCTCCAGAACTGTCCGACCGAATGTGTCTTCACCCTTCTATTCGTCTTCCAGAAGTGTCCATTATCTCCTTCAAATAGTGGAAAATCCAGTCTCCCTACTCAATCAAATCAACAACTCCCTCACTTTCTGTTAGCATTTTCTTGCCTGCCAAACACAACCCAACTACTCCAATAATTTTCCAACTGATCAAGGCTCACAACTTCACTTCACTTGACCAATAAACACAAACCCCAGCTCTTGAGAGAGACACAGAAAAATGTCTCAGGCCGTATCGAATTTGAGCATTTTTCTTCCAATGTCATCTGGGAGGAGGACCAAAAATTGCCCATCCCCTGTTTTCTCAAAACCAGTTAAGAACAGCCTCAGGGCCATGGCAAGAGATGCAAGGGACAACCTTGACCACTTGCAGAGGGCCACCACCAAGCACCAACAACAACCACCACCCCAGCCCAAAAAGAGAGTCGCGCCGGCACCACCTGTAGGTAAATTAATCACCCACTTATCCAAATTTGAAAATCTCACGTTAAAGTTAGAAACTTTAATTTGATATTGATAAATAAACAAAAACCATTGAATTTTTGCAGGGTTGTGGGACCGGTTTCCGACGGCAAGGACAGTTCAGCAGATGATGGAGACCATGGAGAGGATGATGGACGACCCGTTGGCCTACTCGGGCGGGTCGGGTTGGGCATCCCCATTGCCGACGGAGACAGGCGGCTACAGCAGGGGAAGGACCCCCTGGGAGATCAAAGAAGGTGAGGCTGATTACAAGATGAGATTTGACATGCCTGGGATGACCAAAGAGGACGTCAAGGTGTGGGTTGAGGAGAAAATGCTGGTTGTGAAGGCAGAGAAGGTGACCAAGAAGAAGGAAAATGGGGTGCAAGAAGAAGAAGATAATGGTGATGATGAGTGGTCTGCTAAGAGCTATGGAAGGTACAGCAGTAGAATTGCTTTGCCTGAGAATATTCAGTTTGAGAAGATTAAGGCTGAGGTTAAAGATGGGGTCTTGTATATTACTATTCCTAAGGCTACCAGTAGTTCTAAGATTTTGGACATTCATGTAGGGTGATAGCTATAGATTTAGAGATGGAGAGCAGAGGATTTTGGCTTCTTTCTCCTTTTCTTTGTTCAATTTGAATTTTGGTTTCTGAGTATTAATGTCATTACCTATAGTGGGAATTAGCTGACTATTAAGAAGACTTCAAAACAAATTTCATAAAATTTCCACGAAAAAAAGAAGCCCTAAACTTATTTAATTGATAACAATAATTGTACCTAAATAATTTCTTTCATTTTAATCGCATATAAATTATTGAGATGGGCGTCTAGCAAAATACAATCTTAAAAAGTAAAATAAAAAACTTTGTAAGTTGGGCGATTAGATAGATATCTAAAAAATACAATTATAAAAATAAATATTAACTTTATAAGTCGTGCATGATATCTGTTTAAAATAAAAATAAAAACTGTGTTCATGAAATCAATTTTATTCCTCTTTTTTATATCCCTCTAAACAAAATTTATCAAATAAAATTATTCATATTTTTCGCATCCCTCTAAATTATGGTACATATTTTTCGTATGTTGTTACTTTTGGTCTTCAAAATAGTGAATATGTTTTTTTTTTGTTTTCCTATTGTGCGACTTACAAAGTTTTTTTTATTAATTATTTTTGCAATTGTATTTCTTTAGACGTCTGTTTTAATAGTTTTATAATTTAATCGCACGTGTTTGATTAATGGGTTTCTTAAAAAAAAATCTTTATTTTCCATATTTTTTTAGATGTTTGTCTCAACAAAAAAAAAACCTAAAATAATGAGACAGGCACCTAGAAAAATACAATTATAAAAAAAATAAAAGATAAAGTGTTTTAAGTAGCGCATGACGTGAAAAAGTAAAGAAAAACTTTGGTAAGTCGCAAAACTTTGGTAAGTCGCACGCTATTAAAAAAGAGCTCTTACATTGCGCGTATGCGCGTATGAAGAGACTAATTTAGTTAGAATTATTGAAGTATATACTTGACGCGTTGTTTCAATCTTCGTACTCTTTACAAAGTTCTCTTTTTTCTTTGAAAAAATTAACCAGTGTTTCTTTTATTCCATGTATTAAATGTTGGTATTGTGTTTTTGCTTTTGTTTTTCCGAGTACGGGATCAACAGGTCTTAGGTTAATAGACAATGAATTTTGCCATTATTTATTCTCTATTATGTTTTAATTTTTTTAATTCAATCTTCAAGTTATGTTTGCATTGCTCATGATGAATGGCGCAAAATAAGACATCAAATTATATATTGCATAATATTCTTTTTTGTGAATGATATATTTCAAACATTACAAAAAAAAAAAAAAAAAAAGTGGTAATAGTCACCATTATTTGGTGATATTTGATGGGGGTGATTGAAGGCATTAAATGTCACCAAATAATGATAACTGTTGCCACTTTTTTTTCTACTTTTTTTTTTTTTTTTTTTAGTATAGTAAAAATTTAAGAAAATGCTATCCTTTACATTCATGAAGTGTTCAAATATGAACAATGGGTTCACACCAAAGTAACTGTTGAAAAAAAATGACAACTAAGTCATGTCAATATCATCATGGGATTGCTATACTTTTGCCGCTTGCAGTTGTTTGCATTAGTATTGGAAATTTCCTGCATTACAAATTTACATTAATTGCATCAGTCTTATAAGCCGATAACATATTGTAATGCAACATTACTCGGTAAATTGGTACAAACACCATAATGCCATTCCCTTATATAGTTAGCATAAGCAAGCAAGAGGAAATTTTTTTTGAAGAAAGAGGCTATCAAGCAACCTGCCTGCAGTGGCGGATCCACATTGGGGCAAAGGGGGTCAATTAACCCCTTCAAACCAGAAATTATGGATTGGGGAAAAGAAATGTGACCCCTACAATTGCTGCTTCTTTTTCTTTAAAACGGTAGGCCTTGCTTGATTTGCAGACTGCGGCTACCTCGTTGCAAAAGAGCTGTGTTAGGTCTACCCATAAAAAACATATGAATACTTCGAATTAAGGAATAGAAATTGTTAGCGAGTCCTTACTTAGTTAGGATTTTAGTTCCTTATTATGTTAGGATTTTGGTTACTTATCCATTTATCTAGTCGTATTATAATTGAGATTTATTTCCTATTGTAATTTAGATTTATTTTATATTTTATTTAGGGTTAACACATCTTTGTACTTGTATAAATACCTCTGTATTGGAGAAGAATAATAATATGAGAATATGAGCATATCTGAATATTTTCCCATACTTTGTTTGACTTGGTATTAGAGCCAGGTTCCTAACCTGTGATAACCTCTACCAAATTGAGAGTCGTTGGCACTACTTATTCCTAACCCATCATGGATCTTCATCTTGTATAGTCATATTCTTTTGTTCAATCCTCTCATATGTATAGTCACCATCTTTTGTTTATCCTCTAATATGTGTTTTCACCGCACCTAGCCTTCACATGCTTTTTTGCTACTGTTCCAAAAATTTTATTTTTCATCTTTGTATGCCAGATGGTCTTTCTTGATGCCTCAGCTTCTCTATCTTTGAAATTTCATAACAAGTCTCTTTACTCCGTGAGCCTCGTCACCTCTCACCGAGCCGTTGCTTTCCTTTTTGAGCCTCGTCACCGCTCGTCGGGCTTTTCCTTTGACTGTTCTGTCGGTCTTTGTCTTCTTCAGCTACTCTCTTGAGTTGCCTTTCCACTTCTTAGTTCTGAGCACCCTTTCTTTATTTCTCTCTTTGCTCTATTTAGCTTTCTTTTATTTATGTTTATCCTTTTTGTTTGTCTATGCCCAATGGCGTGTGTTTATTGTGCTCTTTCCCCACGCCATCGCTCCATCTCTGTCACTCTATCCTTTCCCGTTGGGTGCTTATTATTTATTTTTCTATCTCCTTCCCTTTTACCCTTATGCTTATTTCTTTCTACCTTTGGCCTTTTTCCAATATTCATCCATTTCTTTGTCTATTTATTTCCTCACAGACACCTTCCTTTGTCATTATTTTCCTTCAATCATAGCATTATTCTCTCCTTTTTTTCTGTTCTAGCACCTCACTTTCTTCCACTAGTTTCTTTTTAAAAATTGTCACATGCAATTTCCCATGCTTTACTTTTTAATATCTTTAGTTTCTTCCTCTTTGATCTACCGATGTGGTTTCCCCTGCTATGCAGTCGAACTTTTTTCACGTCCTCTCTATTTCTCATCTTTCTTTTACCAACCTTTTCCATTTTGTTGTTCTCTCACTGCATTATCTCTCGCTTTCACAGCTCCCTTATATAATATTGCTTCCTTTTGATGGGCACTCTATCTATTCCTATTCCACACATGAAGGGTTTCATTTTTTCGGTGTCCTTTGCTCTAATTCCCATTTGAGCACCTTATTTTTGTCTTTATCTCTGTTCATGATTTGCTGGGTTTCCTCCCTTACTATTCTCATTTTTTGAGGTTTTTTCTTCATGGGACAGTCGTATGCTACCACCTTCCCCTCTTGCATTCGTTTCTGCCACGAGACTGGCATGTTTGATTCACTTTACTATTATTTCAATTTCTCTTCTTCCAAATCTCGGCCCTGTACCAGTGTGGGATTTGATGGGGAGATAGATGCAACTTTATATGGGTGCTGCAACTTTAGTTTTCGGTGTTGTTTTCTCCAAATCTCGACTCTCATACATCGTCGGATTTTAAGGGGAGTGACACCATTGCTCATCTATTCTTGTTTGGGTTTGCCATTCAACATTGGAATCAAGAGCCCAAAAGTCAAAAAAGCCCATGCCAAAATATGGGCTGCCACCAGCATGCTCCCTACGTTTTTGGGCCAAGCTCTACATGCCAGCCCACTTCTCACAAAAGCCCAGGAATAGGAAAAACAGAAGACTGGGCCTTGACTCCAAAAGAAAAGTCCAAATATGCGTCAAAGGCCCATGTCTTTTACTAAGTGGCAGAGTTGTAAAAACGCCAAATTAAATGACGATTACAACTAAGCAGATCGATGAAAGAAGAATTGAATTAGGCCCAGTCTCTAAAAACCTACCATTTCTCTCAAAAAGCCCAAAAACAAGTCAATAGATTTTTCTGGAAAAAACTATTCTCAAGGAAGTCCACGTGACTACCTGACTTTGAAGAGTCAACAATTTCAACTAGTCACAAAGGAATTTGACAAGAAATTAATGAAGGTACTTTTACAGGATGATTTCTCCAGTCTTTCACAGACAGAGAATATTAAAATCCTTTTCTATATGCAGGAAAATTCGGCAGGCATCGTTCCCAAGGGATAAGCAAACTACATTTTTCTAAAGAGATAAGTATGGTGCAGGGAGTTGTTCATTTGGAAGATCAAATTAACAATTACAGCAGTTTTGAACTCTTACAAGAAGCAGTTACAGATTAAAGAAATGATTAGGTTTCTTTCAAAGAAAAAGAGGGAAGTAATTGCCTTAGAACTGACTGTTGATGGTTTACCTGTCAGAACAGATAACTTCCCTTTTCTTTGACATTTAAAAATAAAAGATCTTGTTTTTTAGAAAATCTGCCGCCCATTTTTAAGATTAAAGAACTCTAGCATTTTCTATAAATATAAGAGGAAGTCCAGCCTTCTTTTTGTCTTCCAAGAGTTGGTTTTTCCTTTTTGAGTTTTGTAAAAGGCAGTTCCGCCTGAAAACAGTTTATTTTCTTATTATTTACTCTGGCTAGAACTATCAATCTTGTACTGTGAAAAATTGTGAAGTCCTCACCAATCTGAGGCAAGAAAAGAACTTACTTGGGAGATATTCCTCACTCAAATTCACAATCACTTGTTTAGAAATCAATAACTTAGGGCGCAAGTTATCTATTTTTAAGAAGTCTGCTAGAATTTCTCATTGCTAGCAGTAGCACGCCTGCACACTAAAGAAAGTTGACTTGTTGACCAGTCAATGGTTTTCAAGGCAATAAGGAACTTTACCCTACCATCACATGAACAAACATAAAATGGGTGAACAATTCTGCTGCAATTAAGCTACTTATCTGCCATGGTTGATTCTTCTACATCTGAGTGTTAGTCAGCTTCTGTTTCTTAAGTGCCACTTTTCTTATGGTTCTGACTACCCCTTTTCTTTAGGGAGAGAGAGGGAGTGAAGAGAAGTTGTTTATGCAATAATGGAAGTATTTGTGATTGTTATTTCTGCTGACTACTA